TACCTGGTGTGACTTCTTGCATTCCTGTTCCATGTTGATTGTCATGGCTTAACTCTCTCTGCATGTGGCATCAGAGTTCATGCTGCATTGGCCCTGTCCATCTCTTTGCTGGGGTCATGCTTCTCACCATCTTCCAAGGCTGTTTTCACCCCTGATTGAAGCTTCCTCTGTGGATGTGACCTTCCTTTTTCCAGCTATCTCTGAAACTTGTGTTGGAGAAAATCCTCTGCGTGAGACCCGTTGAATAGAATTTGGCCAAGCAACATCATGCATCCCCCTTATGTCCCCAGAGCCTGCGATTTAAAAACCAGCCTTTAGGTCACAAGCTGTCTTGGTGGCTACCTGCTCCCTAGCCCTCACTCCAGAAGGGATGACAAAAACGGCAGTGCTGTGGGATCCCTCCCACAGTTCCCTGGGGAGCTGGGCTGGGTTCAGGTCATGGCTGACAAGTCTTTTGGGATTCTTAGCCTTTCACCTGAGTTAGAGAAGTAGGTCAGTGCATGGGTACTGCAATCAGTGCCAAGCACACCTCTCACATGCACAGAGTGTTGTAGTCCTCTTGCAATGCTTTGGCTTGATAAAGCCCCTCTGTTTGTCCCACGTGCTGCCTGGTGTCCCCCATCTTCCTGATGCTCTTCGCTCTCTGTTTTGCAGAGGAGGATGTGGAAAACTTTGATGTGACAAACCTGTCGCAGGATGTTTTGCGGAGCATCGAAGCTGATAGCTTTTGGTGCATGAGCAAGCTGCTGGATGGGATACAGGTGAGCCTCTGGGGCCATGGAGATTTCTCTTCCCTTGCTGGGGTAGCAGTGTGGTTGTCTTCTCTCCCTGTCTGGGTGAGCGTTCTGCACATTCTGGCATTAGGGAGATTTTGCTACTTCACTGAGCTAAATCCATTAGTAAAATCCTGGGGAGATGGATGCTGATGGCACTGTCCTGACTAGGGACTTCACAGCAGGCAGGTGATCCTGGTGCTCAAGAGCCATGTCTCCTTGGATCATGACAGTCTCATCTCCCTGTCGAACTGGTGGTGATCTGGTTCTGATCGTTTCTAGCTGTTGTTAAAGCTACTGCTTCTGACTTGTGGCCTCTCCCCACAGGACAACTACACCTTTGCACAGCCAGGGATCCAGAAGAAAGTCAAAGCTCTAGAGGAGCTAGTCAGCCGGATCGATGGTAGGTGACAGGGGAACCTGATCATGTTGGCTCTTTTGTCATAACAGCAGGAGGCCTTCTTTTTAAGTAGTACTCTCTTTGTAAGTAGGGCAGGGGTAGACACTTGCTTACAACATGTATGGAAGCATGGTAGGGTGGGGTCAGCCGGAAATTTCCTGGTGACAGGATTTGCTGGCTGGGTAGCACAGGGTGAGGAGTGGAGGAGTTTGGGAGAAAAAGGTCTCAGCCTGGAAGTGGGTGAAAACCAGTGTGTTCGGAGCAGTGTGCAGGAGCTGGGGCACTGTGGTCCCCAGGTGTGTAAGTGAAATGTGCTGTTTCAGAGCAGGTACATAATCACTTTAGGAAGTACGAGGTCGAATACCTGCAGTTTGCTTTTCGCTGGATGAACAACCTGCTTATGAGGGAGCTGCCTCTTCGCTGTACCATCCGCCTCTGGGACACCTACCAGGTACACAGGTTTCCACTGACTTTCCTGCTGGGCATGTCACTGTGGGGCCAATTCCCTGTACATGAGAGGACAGAGGTCTTCTGGCACCAGCTGGGGAGATGAGGGAAACAAAGCAGTGTGGCCCCAGGACATTTATAGTGAGTTGGGTGATGGGTGACCCAGTAGGACATTATCCAGGGAAGTCATTCTCCAGATGATGCTGGAGGAGCTGACCCAGAGTTTTGCTCTCCACAGTCGGAGCCAGAAGGATTCTCACATTTCCACCTGTATGTCTGCGCTGCCTTCTTGATCAAGTGGCGGAAGGAGATCCTAGATGAGGAAGACTTCCAAGTAAGACACTGAGGTTGAGGATAATTTCAATGGGGGTAAAGGGGAGGGAATTGCTCTAATTGGGAGCCCAATGTGGACAGTCAGCTGTCATCTCAGAGCTGGCTCCAAGATCATCTGGTCTCAGGAGCTTTCCTTAAAAGTAACTTTTGAGCCTCAGTGGTAAGGACAGAGAACTGAACTGTTGGACAGTTCAAACATCACATACCAGCTCTTCCCCGCACCTGAGCTCTGATCGCAGTAAGTGATTGCCTTCCTGTGTCCAGCTGTAAGCCTATAATAGCACCCTTTACCTGAAGGGGCTTGGAGGCATCTGAGGTGCTTCACTGATTCAGATCTAGACACAAGCACATCTTAATGCTGTCTCTGAGCCTTTCAGACCTATGAGTGTGGTGACCAGAGCTGCTGCCTCTGGTCGTTCCGCCCCCAAGCCTGCTCTGGATCTGCACTCTGCTTTCAACCTCTCCAAACTAAGCGTCTTCCCTTCTTTCAGGGCCTTCTGATGTTGTTACAAAACCTGCCCACAATACACTGGGGTAACGAAGAAATTGGACTCCTGCTCGCTGAAGCCTACAGACTCAAGTACATGTTTGCAGATGCCCCCAATCATTACCGCCGATAGGTGCCCAAACTTGACTCACTCCTCTCTCCCATGCCCGCTCCGTCGTCCTGGCCCGATCTGATCACTGTGGCATTTTTGTCATCCCAAGTCCTTGGACACTCCAGCTGGGAGCTGATCCTTGCTGTACAGAGTTCACATCAACTCTTAACGTGTGCCTGTCTGCCACTCCATGCGCCTGGATGTGCCATTTTGATGACTGTCAGTATTTTACACCGTGCTGGAGGCTCAAGCCAGGAAGGGAGGCCTTAAGGGGCTGGGGGAGACCATGGAGGGAAGGTTTACAGATAAACCAGAGCTGAAGATGAAGCCTTTCTGTCCTCTCCACTCCCTGTCCTGGGCTTGTCTGCCTCACGTTAACCTGCACCACGTGCGCTACCCCATCTGCTCCTTTCTCTCTTCTGACACTGTTTCCGACATCTCCCAGATGAAAATGCCTTATCAGAGACCTGCCTGGCTGGAAAATCCTTCCCCACGAGGGTGGCAGGGCAAGAAGTTTCTCTCAGGGCCTACCTTCGCTCCGAGGGTCCAGAGACCCCAAGCACTTTGTGGGTTCACAAGAGAGTCCCTCATGCCTGCCCTCTCTCCTTCTCTCCATCCTCTTCACCTACCTCTCCCCCAGGGCAGCAGGGCAGGCATGACAGGGGCAATGAGCACTCCATCCACATACAGTTCGAATTATGCGTGCCAGCTTGATGGAACTTTTGGTGACTGATGTTCTGTGAGTACAGCCCCCTCCAGTGTGTGGGGGAGGTGCAGGGCGGGGCTGGTAGGGGAGCAATATCTCCCAAAAGCTCCTTACAAAGCCCCCAGTCCTCCGGGGTGTTCTGTGTATATTGTGTTCTTGTGTATATGGGTCAAAGATGTACAATATATGTCTTCTCTTTGTAGCAGATTTTATATTTATAATGTGCACCCCTTGTTCTCCCCATCCTCTCCATGCCCGAGAAGGATGCCTGACTGTGGTGTCACAGGGCTTTGGACCACTCTGGAGGTGGGGGGGTGTTTCAGACCTGCAGGTAATGTCTGTCCCAGTATGTGCTTGCAGTGTTGGGTCTGCCAGGAAGAGGTGCCATAGAAATACAGATCTCAAGGCATCCCCTACAGACAGAATTTAGGTGGTTAGAGGAGATGGGAGCTCCCAGCAGGAAGCAGGGCAGAGCTGTGTCCAAGAAACAGGGTATCCAGGCTCATCAGCTGCTGGCAAGTGCCTCTCTGAGCACTGTAGGGTGGAGACCTGCCAGTGCTGGCTGGCAGGACTCTACAGGGAGGAATAATCCTGGATCCAGCACTGGCTGTCCCTGGCGCTGTCCAGCTCTGTGGACACAGCCTCCCAGGAATGTCAAAAGGATCTGGCTGGCCTTTCTGCATCTGCTTTTAAATCAGTCAGGCTGGGAATGTTTTAATGCACCATTTTCTTCCCATGGGCAGAAACCATCTGCCACGTGTGAAAGGCTGGAGTCGGGAGGGCGTGAGGGTAGGAGGGCATTGGGCAGGAGGCCCAATCTGGGCCACCTTGGGTTTCTCCCAGCACTCCTGCTGCGCCATGAGGGCTGTCTTGATGCGGAGGCTCTTGGTCCCTCTACTTTCCATTTCTGTTCCCAGTGGAGAAAAAGCAGGGGGCAGCGAGGCCCGGGACCAGCATGTGACAGGCACAACCTTGTTGCCAATAAAACTCCAAACAGTATCTCAAGAAATCACTTTCCTAACCTGGAGTTGTTTCTCTCAGGCATTTGTCTGTGTGTGCCTTTTGTTCTTTTCTCTGAGAAACAGACCTGGTGGTCCTTAGTTGAACATGAATTAAAAAGCAGAAGAAAAAAAACCAAACAAACCAAAAAAAACCCCACCAACACCAAACCCAACAGCAAAAACATCAACACAACTCCAACCATCAACTGAGCTGTGTGGGTCAGGCAAGTGTTTGCAGTGCACCACTGCCTGGAGGAACATGAACCTGTGCAGGGAAGGAAAAGTGCATCTCAGGGAAGAGAGACAATGCAAGAGCCATGCTGAGATGAGAAACTCTCCCCAGGCACGTGACAGGGATCAACCCAGCTGCAGGGTCTCTCCTGCTGCCTCCACATCCCATCTGCTGGCAAGTCCCACCGTCCCTGGTCCAGCACCACCGAGAGATGTGATTCAAGCCCCAGATTGCCAATTCCCATCTCTTCGGGGCTCTCAGCCAGCTTCCCCATCAGCACGCTGCTGTGCAGGGCTCAAGGTGGGATCGCACCCTGCAGCATCTAGCCCTGTCACCTCATCCCCAGGAGATGGTCAAGGACAAGAAACCCCTTCGTGTTTCACTTCCCCATTGCTCTTTGCAGGCTTTCTGCCTGCATCTGGGACAACTGAGATGATTAAAAGCCATCACAGTAAGTTCTAGATTTCAGGACAACACTAGCAAGGAAGAACACTTCTTGAGGGGTAGTGTTTTGGTTTTTTTCATACATTAGAACATTTATTTCTCAGAGAGAAAATATAGTCTCAGACAGTCAGATTATAGAAGGTAAAATTAGGTTTTTCTTTTCTTTACAAGCATAGATTTTCTTATTACCCCTCTTATACCATCTGATATAAACAATTCTAGAAATCAAATAAACTCACTTTCTACAATAAATACAGCAATCTGTGCTTTACAGCAGACTGACAGTAACATTTAAGTTCCGTAGCAACAGCAGGACATTAGCCAATTCAAATTCTAAAATGTAATTTAAAAAAAAAAACAAAAACCAAACCAAAACAAAAAATCAAACCAAAACAAACAAACACGAAAAAAAACACCTCCCAAGACCTTAAAGCATATACACAGGTCACAAGTCCACAGCTGAGCTACCACCTAGAAAAGTGTATGTTCCTTTAAATAAATTACACTGTGTGCATATAAAAGACCCAGCAACACAACTGAGGACTTCAAGAATAGTGACAATAGGTCTGAATAATTTAGAACATTTTACAACTATATACACAACATCCTTCCCTAGCCACACTCCATAGGTGTTATTATCACTATAAGTATTCTTACAAACCTATGTCCTACCTCTATATGTTGCAGGAATCTTAAAATTCCTTCAACTGTGGTTCCATGCCCCAGTGCATAAGAAGTGGCATTTTAAAAAAGTAGACCATATAGAAATGGCAGTGATTACTCCCCACTATTCATTATCATTCTCTTTAGTATGAAAAGGTTAAAAATAATTTAAAAATATTGAGTTAAAAAGCAAAGTGATATTCAATCTACAATCTTACTTTGCACCTTTGGTTCTTGAAAATGGGAAAGCAAAAAGAGATAAGCAACAGAATAGATCAGAGAAATCATAAAGTCCTTGGCTAACAGAAAAGATTTTGCCATCAAGTTTCCAGACATCAGTTTGTCCCTGTGTTTTGCAATGCAAACACAGAACAACAGGGATTGTCTGCAGAGCTGGGTTTACTTGGCTTTGGATGAATGACAATGCTGGAGACCCACACACCAAGGAAAGGATATGTCTGCATGGGAGAAGGGGAAATGGCAAAATGGTTGTGTGCTTTCGTTAGCACTTGGTTTCAACCCGAACTGCATCAGAAGAAAACATTCAAGAGACAGAAAAGAGAGAAGAAAGGAAGAGGAGCCTTACACCAAATGTGCATAAACCAACACAAAAGATGTATCTCCCTCCAACCCTGATCAACCTCAGTACCTGCAGAGCTGCTTCAACTCTACTTAGACACCTTCAAAATTACTTTTACTTCTTAAAAAAAGGAAGTTATCCTTGCTTAGATTCCGTACTGCACAGTCATGATATAAAATGTAACAGCAGATTCACAGATACAAAATAAATTTCTAGGACATACATATACACACAGATCAGGTAATCTGCTTTTCATCTTTAAAGCTCTGTGCATCTGTGCATGTAACTGTGTGCTGCAAGGGGGGGAAAGGTCATCGATATATCTCAAGCTTTTCTAAAGGCAATGAGAGAAATCTAAACATGAAAACACTATGTACATAGGCAGGAAAATCATAATGTGAACTCCCAGCTATCATTTTGTGGGGTTTTTTTATATGATGGGACAATATCGTTTAAAGAAAAATGAAAAGGCCAATGATGGTTTGGGTAAATTTGGCACAAGAAAGTCAAGTTGGGATTTCCGTAAAGGATCCTGGTTCTGTTACAGTGGTGGCAGGTTCCCAGGAACTACTCCAGGCTAGCTGACCACTTACAAACCCTGGCAGCACAGGGGAGGCAGGGGCAAGGGAGGGTGCATGAGGTCCAAACATCCAAGTGCTGCACTCTGCTCACTGCATCAACTCACCTTGGCTCCTATCAGCGGTCAGCTTTTGCTAACTACCTTACTCCCAGCCCTGCAGACTACACATTTCCGTCTCTTGCCAGCTCTTCAGCAGATACATTCAGAAAGAAGCTGGACAAGTTTTTTTTGGCACATTTCAGGGTACTTTGAGGACTGCTGAAAGCTGCTGGGAACGGTGTTCCCCTGCCAGTCAGTGCATGAGATGGTCCACTCTGCCAATGCAGTGAGCACAAGGTCTGGGGGGAAAACGAGGTCCAGCCACCCCAATCCTTTACAGGTAACTGGATGTAATGAAGGGATGGTCTCCGTGCACTCGGCTCATGTGGATCATGGCTCGGTCATATGCCACCTGCACAGACTTGCGGATGCTGGTTTTTCGTCCTTCCATCATCTTTAACTTGTCCACTGTGTCATCAACACCAAGGGGATAGACTTTGTCACGTGGAAGCCACTGCCTGCAGTAGAGAGTGCAAAGATCTGTCACCAAGAGTATCGAGAGGGAAAACGGGGAAAGAAGAGCAAACACCTGGAGGCCTCTCACCCTTGCAATACCTGAGCAATCAGCAGGGGTGCGACTGCTTCAGTGTACCTGGCTCATTCCTACTGCATGGCTGCTACAGGCCAAGGACATTCTCCCATGAGTTTCCAGGACATGGCCAAGTACTCCAGCTCCTCAAGCTTTCCCCACATATCTCAGCAGCCATTAGTCACTGGCTGTTATCTCCTCTCCAGGAGCAGTTACACTTATGTAATATATTTGTTTATCATTAACACCCACAATGATGCTACAAATGTTTAAATGCCTGCATTTGACATAGAAGAACCACCTGTAGCCAAAATGCCTTCCAAGCACAGTCTTCTCTCTCCTTGGAGTCCTTACTCAAGGCTTTCAATGCTCCTTGGAGCTACAGGGGAAACTTGGAAATCCCTGTGTTCCACAGAGCAGAAAATAATACAGGGGCTTCCATGGTGGAAAGTAAGTTTTTATCCCCAAGCAAGTTCTGTCTTGTTCCAAGAAGCTGTAAGCATTAGAGGTTAGGTGGGTACAACTATCTGAGTATCACCCAAAACCAGGCAACTTCCAGTTGACATGTCCAAAGCCCAGGCTAACCCCAATGGATGACTTAAATTGCAAATGCCTTGTCTGTAGCAGGTTTTTATTGCGTCCAGATTAACCAGTACACTGAGAAACATGCCACCTATCTCTCTTAATGAAGTTCAGCCCCTAGGAACTCAACCTCAGCCACTGCTAGCACAGTTCAAAGCATTTCCCAGCCAGCCAACATGGGCGACGAAGGGCAGCTCAGCTTATCTTCACCACAAAGATGAGGGACAATTTCAGTGTTTGTGACCCTTCTGCAACATCATTGAAGTCAGTAGAAATTTAGGACTTTCCTGAGGTGCCTTATCTTCCCACAAACTACAAACAAGGCTCTAAGGGGCCACTTAAGAGTGTAAACATACAGCAGAGCTTGTATTCAACAAGAGCAGGGCAAAGCCAAGGAAATGCTTATTTTTGTTGGAAAGGTAGTTTCAATTACAAGGTTGGATTTAGGTTTTTCAAAATGATGACTACAGCATGGTACTGCCATTGATTTTCTGCTAAAAATCATTAATACCTCTTTGAGGAACATGCTCCGTATCAACTAGTTCTGGTAATCAGGAACAGTGAAACAATGCAGTGTTCTAATAAAAAGCCTCAGGAGTTTGTCTCTTGACACCTCTTTTCCCCAGAGAACACAGAAATACTTCTCAACTTCCCAAGCAGATGGCATATACTTTGCCTGCATTGCACCTTGTCTCCATCTCTTTAGATTGCATAAAACACTGCTGCAGCCCCAAAATGTAAGGGGAAACCCTCTCCCTTGCTGCTTTACCCCACTATGTGTTTGGCTCTGCTCTATTCCCAATAGTGTATCTTCCCTCCAGCCCTGACACCACCTTTGGGCAATGTTCACCTCCTTCCTCCAGCCTCTGGCCCTTCCCTGATCTCATGCTTCACTACTCTTCCAGGAATGCCAGCAAAAACCTTCCTCAGGAGACTAAGGAGAAGGGCTCTTGAAACAAGGTTTCTTTTTAAATTCCTGATACGTTATTTTATAAAGGCAGGAGAAGGAAAGGCAAGCCCATCTATCTCCTGTTCCCACAGCATCCCAACAGTCCAGCATCTGCTCTGTCTGCAGTATAAGCTCTCTGAATCTGTGATCCCAGCTGCACACTCCTGTGTGTGACAGCATATTTGCATGGTTCATGTTCCCATTTGGTAAATTCAGTGGGCTCAGCATGTGGCTGTCACCTCTTCCTCTTCCAGTATAATTCTCCAATTTTACAAGTTTCCCATTGTTTCATACACAGATTTCAGAGTCTTTTTAGTATTTTTAAGGCACTTCACTTGTTTATGACTTATTACATCTGGGTGGTTTATTGTTACCATGTGAGCATGGTTGGCAATTAATGCTAAAATCAGCAGATTCAGTCTGTCTGAAGCAGAACAACAAAGGCCTTGAGATATTTCACATGCTTTGAACCTACATGCTTACACCTACATTTTCCATCCTAAACAAAGGTCTTGATTTGAAAACTGCAGGTACTTAGCACCTCTGAAAAATCAGCCAAGTCTAAATATGAAATAAACTCAGCATTTTAAAAATGTTACCCTGGAAATTTCTGGCAAATCTTTTGTGCAGCATTGGAACAGGCTGCTTAGTCTGCTAGTGTTTTAAAGTCAAGTGCTCTCTGTAATTCGCTGCAAATTAACTCTCAGTGTGCCTCAGTATTTTCTTGGTGATGTGACCCTTGAGTGTAGGATGCTGGACGGTTCACTGTGGAACTGTGAGATGTTGTGTGACTGGGCCGGGAAAAGCAGGCTGTCTTCCTTATTTAGACTCTTCTTGACTGCTGCATGTTCAAATTCTCCAATTTGCACGTAATATCATCATCATCATAATCCCTGTGTGCTCCCATATATCAAAGATTACGTTAAATCTTCCTTCTCTGCAACAGCACTCACCACAGGCCTGTCTGCACACACTCACCAGGTTCTCTTGTTGTCAAAGAAAAGGACAAGGAAGAGCTTTTCTCCTGCCTCTGTCTGCCTCTGCTCCCCCAACTTCAACACATCCATGGGCGGGACAGGGATGGGGACTCCATTGTGAAGCAAACCCTCACGCGGCATCTTGGGGTCGATTATCTAGTGACACAGGGAAAGGATATTTAAGAACAAAATCCTTTCAAGTACTGAAGAGAAGGCATTTTTTTTCTGTTCTTTCAGTCTATCCAAGCTAGACAAATAAGTCTACTTTGGATGGTAAGCAAAATTGCTTGTTATGTTTCAGTAGCTCTTTCTAAAAAAACTTTGTCCTCGAGCCTTCCCCTGTAGAAGGGAAGCCAGTCAGTTCGAAAGTCAGACATCCAATCTTAAAAAAGTGAAAGGATCTAAATATGTGGTTCTGTGTGGCTGTAGATGCATCTACACTAATTGGTAATTCAGTACAAACTCAGTATTGTTGTGTTCAGCAAAGATCTCCCTCCCTCACTTCAAAATCATACAATAAATGTAACAAGACTGCTGTACTCCACAGGCGTAACATGATTTCGCAACAGCTCCATTCTGGAACAACCCAGTTGACTTGAGTGGCATTGCTCAGATTTACACTGCTATTAGATTAAAATCAGGCCCAATATTCTGAGAGAGTTGACAAGCAGTGCTGGCTTCATCAAGCTAGGGTAACACAGACTATAGTCATTTTGAAGAGAAGTAACAACAGATGCATCAATTCTCCCCAGTGTCCAAATTGTGCTATGTGATCACAGGAGGAGAACAAAACAGCAAAAGGTGGATGCAATACTCCATCTATTCTTCTTTGCCTCCTAAGGTCTTGAAAAAGTAGATTGGCTTTGACATTGGCCATCTGTAGTATGAAGGACACTTTACCACCACAACAGGCTGCTATTAAAAAAAAAAAAAGCCTTTTTTCGAGGCAGTCTCAGTGGTTAAATGCATTCTAAACCACAGTTTAACTCCAGTTGTAGCCACACAGACAATTAAAAATGCTTTGGTTGGCCAAGATGGCTAGCAGATGCACAGCTGTTCCCTCCTCTGAGCTCCCACTTGGAGTAAGAGTATAGATGAGCGTCACAATTCCAGCAGAACCCACCATTTTTGATGGCATCAGAACTGTGCTCAGTCACAGCCAGGCCTGCACACTGTGTCAGCTTACGCCCAGTCTCCCAGCTCTGCTGCTTGGATGTAGAGACCCCTCTAATTTCTGTGATGGCCACTTTCTTTTAGCCCTTACAATTTGTCAGCAGTCACAAGAGCTGTCTGTCCTTGCCATCCGAACCAGAAAGGTACTTAAGGGCATGGCTGCAGCCACATGGAAATTACATGAAGCAGAGATGGCAGGAAAAGCCATATCTCAAGGAGTATATTTAAAAGCAGCAGCAACAACAAAACATGGTTAGCTTATCTCATGTTCTTACTCATATCCTCATTTCAGCAATCTCTGTTGACAACTTAACAAGCACCGAAATGCCTGCAGTGGTAATGGCACTTCCTAGCAACACCTGCATGCCATGTTTTGCTTTGAAAACAAGTATGGTGCTCAATGAAGACAGGTTTATGGATTTCATGTTTATAGAAAAACATCCAAAGAGATAAATATTAAGGAACTATTGTTCAAGGGACTAGGTGCAAATGCTCATGAATATATTCTCATATTTAAATCAAACATATGGTTATTGAAAGAGGATACATATGATAGGGCACCTACATGTGGAGTTGTACTCACTACACAGGAAAATGTGCAGGCACTTAAGACACCAGGTGGACCATGGTGCCTGCATTTATAAAATTTACGTCTTCTCATCCCAAAAGTACTAATTACTTTCAGGCGAGGGAAGGGAAGGGAAGGGAAGGGAAGGGGAGGGGGGTTCCTATCCCTGACAATGAGAGGCCAATGTTTTATAAATTCTCTGCAATGCTCTGAAACAATGAGCACAGGGAAAATTAACTGCGCAAAGGGGAAAGAAAAAAAAAACACATATTGCATTATTTTGGGAAGTTTTCCTTTTCTGTCTGGTTACACTGCACACTAGCACTGTGTTCTGGGCTACCTGCACTGCAAGTACAGGTTGTGAGAGAGCAGCAGGGTACTTACCAAGGCAGGGTAGGAAGGATAGCCACGGCACTTGGCCCACACAAGCTCCAAGGGCTCCAGCTCAGCCTGACTCTCAAAGGACATCAAGAGAGTTCTGCCTAAGGGACAGGAGGACACACGGCTTAGAAGGGCTATTACTGGCAAAAGGGTTATGGTAACACAAGAAACCACACTGTCATCTAACCCAGGCATGATGGCCTGCATTGTCTCAGGAGCAATCAGCTAAAATAGTTGAAATACTGTTGTACTTAAAACCTCTGACAAAACAAAATGGAAAGCCACTTATTGTTTGTACCCATATGCATTGGGTGGCCAAACGAGATGTGATATGACACACATCTCATCTGCAGTAAGTTTATGATAAAATTTAGTGTGCACTGAGCTCCAGCCTTCTTTATGCTCTGTCAGTACAGTCATGTTCAGCATTAAGATAAAGCCACAGCCTCTTAAATCATGGGTCCAAGTCTATGCATGCATGTAGCTTCACATGAACTCTTCAATATGGAAATATTAATCCAATCGAGTCACTGAAATCAAACGGCTATACAAGAGATGGATTTGGTCATACACATGAAATCTACCAGCTCATGGTCCTGGAAATGGAGTAATCTTCATTAATGCAAATTTTATAGCAAGTAGTGCTTGCTGTCGGGAAAATGATCAAACAACTGGCATTGAAAAGTGAATTTAGAAAATGCTGAGTACAACCCAACTGAGCACCCTGTCAAGACAGATTTGATGTGCTTCTCCACTATTGCATTCCAGACATATTCTTCCATTAATGAAATTATATTCTAAGACACAGAATTGCCCCACTGAGCCTAATTCTCATGTTACCAGCCCCACTCTGCAAGCTTATCTCCAAAGAAGATTGCTGAACACACAAATTCCAGGATAATAATGGTTCTCAAAGAGCCATGACGAGAGCCTGCACTCGGGAGCTGCACAGAAGGGCATGGGCATTCCAGGGCATCAAAGCTGAATTCTGATTTCAGCACAGACCTGCAATAACTCTATTGCTGACATACCATAAGAAAGCCAAGAATCTGGTTGTGTGAGCACTGAAAGAATGGCGTAGTGCCTTGGGTAGTGACAAGTGAGGAGTGTGACAATTTTATAGACATATAGCAGAGTTTGACAAAGACAACTTTGTTATGAGGACCTTGCAAGCAATACAAGAGGGAACAGCTATGAAGTCATCTCCAGAGAGACCCCTCTTACAATTAACTCTTCGTATTGCAGCATCATTAAAGAGAACTAGTCCCAAAACAGGAGAAAGTGCCAGGCACATCACACACACCAGCCCAACAGAAAGTATCCTTCCAAGGAGAAGACCGGGTATAAGCAATCAGCAAAGGTGAAAGCAGGAAAAATCTTTTATGCAGTAACCTAAATTTGCAACAAAGCAGGTAATAATGCCCAGGCAGGTCAGCAGCCTGATCATAAAACCTGGATAGTTTGTCCAGGACTGGTTCCTGGTGTGCTTTGGGATGTGTTCCCTTTGGTTTAGATGGATGTCAGCCCTACAGCGCGGTGGGACCAGAGCAGTGTGTGCTGTGCAGCAATTCTCACCTGAGCCACTGAAATCAGGATCTCCATTCACACCTTCCACGAAGGGCATCCGAGAAAGAGCCGGCTTTCCTCGACTGCGCTTAGGAGGCATCAAACCACTGTTAGAAAGACATGGAAAAGAAGGGCATTAGGAGAAAACAGATTATCCTTGAAAACAAGGACAAGGAAACAGATTCCCCAGCTCTGTCTAAACTACTGAAAAATTACTGCACTGGTGCCTCACTGACATGAAAAGAAAACTGAATACTTAAGCAAAATGTGATCTCTTCTGGTGAAAGCACAGTGGACATCATCCCAGCTTTCCCATGAACTAAGAAAGGGCCTAATAGAAACCAAGCTGTAAACATGAGAAAGAAACCCAGCAAAGATGTCACACTTGAGAGCTGATGTAGTGATGCTTTTGGAGTTTTCATGAGCTATACCAGTTGTGGATAGACTTATGACACAAATGGAGGCAAATATGGTGGGGCCATAAGGCCAAGACATGGCCTGAAAGGCAATTTCTGGCTCCCAGTCTTGTTCTGACAGCATCCTCACCCCATCAAAGATTTCTGCATAACTCAAGGACCCTCATTTAAATGACACTATAACTATGCACAAATCCGGGTGTCTCCTGTTTCCCTTCAATGCAGCTTCTTACTTTACAAAAGTCTATTGCAACAACTTCTTGTAAGATCTGCACAGAGGTCATGGTAGCATCCAGCTTACAGAAGAAGCAATGACTGAGATGAAGATCTGGACACACAGCCCAGAAAACAGGGGAAGAGATGAAGTGCTGGGTGTGTGTCTCATCTCAAAGAAGAGCTGAAGGTTCTATGCCTACAAGGGGCTCAGCATGTGCAAAGAGAGATAATTTACTGGCGTGCCACATGCTGCCCTTGGGTTGCCCAGCACCTGACTGTGGAGGTAGGATCACTCTGCAACAGAGAAAAGCCCTTGCATCAAAATTGCTCCTCCAAACCCAGGGCCTTGCCCTTTGTCATGGGCATGATAGACTTTGCAAACAGATTTACAATGGTAACACTAATCAAACCTTAGCTACAAGTGCAAAATTATACGCCTCTTTGGGTAGCTAACATTTAGGATCCCTCTGCCCAGCAGAGCAGAGTTTTCATTTGAAAAATGCTCCTGTGATTCAACCCTGCCGCAGAACAATTTTTTACACAGCTAACAGTTTTGAACTGTTGTTTAGCCCTGAGAACGGGTGTACGCAGGCATATAATTTTAACACTGCAAGCTTGAAATCTTACACAACTAACTGAGTACATGCATTGTGAGGAAGCACAAAATGTCCAAACGTATTTCTCTAGTGATGGGTCATGTTCAAGGCACTGCAAACATAACCACAAATATCAACTAAAAACATCTTGCTTCTGTCTGTCCTGGATGATCTTACCCATCAAGCTCAAATGTGCTCAGCCTGCCACTCAGAGCACACACAGACGTGATTCTGGCATAACAGAGGTTTTACTGTGCAGTGAAAGGGCTGTGAAATAACTTAAATCAGTGCTAGGAGGGCTGGACAGGTAAATAAGACCAGAAAATTGACACAGCACTCATACCTACCTACTGAAATTGACCAAAAGATGTCAAGTGTTTGCTCTAAGTCTGTTCTAAGTCATGTTTGAAGCACCTAGTTCTACTTTTAAACTTCTGAGAGGAAGAAAGCAGCAATTCAGTAGGTGGCAGAAGTTCAGCTTTATGTGCAGTGCTGAACTGAAAATCTGAATTCAAGTTTTTTCCAGTTTTGGCTCTCAAGGACTGCAAGGCATTCATCAGCAGAGAGGATGTGTATGCATTGAGAGAGACAAGTATAACAGATAACCACTTGCTTGAAAAATCAAGCCCTGCTTTTGGGACCAATAACTTAAAAGAACAGGACAGAAATACAGCAGCTTTTTGTCTTTTACAGTAGGCACAGAAGTAACAGTTCGGGCTAGGTTTAAAATGAAGAAGTCAAAGAACAAAACCAGAGAGAGAAATCCAGACGCAGAAGGTGCTCCAGGGCACAGTTTTGCATGGGGCACTTACCTGCAGGATTCAAACACCAGTCCACTGCCCAGGGCAGAGCTGCACTCGAAGTCAGAGCCACTTTCTGCATGCTTTGCAAAGCCATTAGTCACTCCTGCCAAGGAGACAAATGGGAATGACAGGGACTGACTCCTGAGAGCGTTCCCGAGCCCAGAGCACGCACAAGAAGTCAGATGACAATGGCTTTCCCCCATCCAGGCATCCACCACCCCCAAGTTCCCATGGGCTCACCAAAAGTCCAACAGCCATACAAAAGGCAAACTCATGGCAAGATCACTATTGTTTTTTCTAGGTGTAAATATCGAATCGCCACAAGGCACACATTTCTGGGAAACACCTTGTTACGAAAATCCTATTCACAATGACCTGCTTCTGCAGTAACACAGATTCATCACACCAGACACTCCCTCCCGTTAGGAGAAATCAGTTGTGTCTGAAATCATGGGAGGAGATGGGGCCATACCAAAAAAGCAGTGCTACAGCAACTTGAAAAAAAGCCAGTAGTGCTGCTTCAGCTGAGGAGAAATGTCACTGAGATGACGTGATTTTCCAGCACCCTGCCTTTACTTGCCCTTTTTTTATTTTCAGCCTCTCATTCCGACCTGTATCCAATGCAGATGACAACTTTCTCCTTTAATTACCAACAGATGATGATGGCGAGTCCCTCAACTCTGGAGAAGTCATTTGTGATCCCTTTAACCTGTCCTGGTAAGTCTATCTCCACATTCAACTGCTTTCCTCCCACTCTCAGTATGCTAGCAACCTTATGATAGCCTTATAGCTATGAGATAATATTTGAAGTGTAGGCCAAGTCAAACCTTACAGGTGGGAACTGTCCCACAACAGCTGTTCACACAGAATCAAAAGAAATTACAGTGCTGTCACTCAGATGTCTCTTTCCTCTTGTGTCTTTCCAAATTTCACCTCAGGTGCTTATTCTTATTTGCAGATCTAATTTGAAAAGGAATCTTCTTGGTATTCCCACCAATTTTATTTAAACTCCAGAACTGAGAGTACAGCTGATTTAAAAGCAATGTTTAACATCTCATCTTACATGGGTGCTGTGTTACTACAGACGGTGCACACTTCCAACCAAATGCATCATTTCTGCAGCAGGAAACTCTCAAGCCAACACAAACCCTTCTATAAGGGCAGGAACGCCAATCTCAGCCCAGAGTCTCCAGACAGGCCTCTCAACAGCTTTGCAAGCAGCTGGGCACATTGGCTTGCCCTACACAAAATGGAAAACTCTCTCTTACAGCAGCCATGTAGACTAGCAAAGAGAAGAATCATTTGTGACTTCCCTGGGTTTCATCTTGGTACCTTTAAATGTCTAAAATGGAGGTGACTAGAGCTGAACTAAGATACCAAAAACAACATGTACGGTCAGTGGAGAAGAGAAGTGCAACTCATTATGGACATGTCTTGTCTGCCCTGTTTTAGAAACATGTGGAAGAGATGCAGCTTTCACCGGGCACATCTGGTCATGAAGCCTATGTTTTCTTCTAAGCATAAAGTCAGTTCCAGGTGTGTAGTTTGGATGCAAAAGTTTTTACTCAGCCCCAGGATTTCTATGTCCTCGGTCCCATCTCACAGTTTCCAAGGGTTCAGGGGGAAAAGAAATCCCAAAGAACTGGGATTTCCAATCAGGTTGGAAAAGACCTCTGAGATCATCAAGTCCAACCCATAACCTAACATCACCATGTCAACTAGACTATGGCACTGAGTGCCACGTCCAGTCTTTCCTTACCTCTCTGTCCTGCCTGCCTGGGTGACTTTTCTCGATTGCTCTCATTGCAGGTTCTGCTCTGTGGCCGCTTCCGAGCTTGTCGCTCCCCATCAGGGCAGGAGGGTGAAAGCTGCCCGCTCTGCCTGCGGTCCTCCCTGTTTTCCAGGGAGCAGTCCAGACCTCTCTGCAGCTTCACCCCGTTCTTAGCTTTTTTAAAAAGGACAGATGTTCGTCGGCCCACGCTGCTGAAGGAGGGGCTGGCAGGGGTGTCTGCAGGCGACAAGGCCAGTCCATTCAGGCTGTTGTTGGTGAGCAGGCGCTGGAAGGCTTGGCTCTCCCGCTGCAGAGCCTTCTTGTCAAAGAGCTCCCTGTCCAACACCACCCTCTTCTGCAGCTGATTCAAGGACTTACTTTCACTAATGGGTTTGAGTGTTGGAGGGTCCTGCAGAGAGTCTAGCTCCGAGAGGGAGGGTACAGGTCCTGTGGGCTCCAGGGTTGGAGGGTGCGGGGGCTTGGCATCATCTGCTAAAGGAGTAAAGAACCTGCCTGAACATTTTACAAAGACTTACTCCCAAAACTACCGACAGCAATTCTCATCTTTCACAGGGCCACAGACAGGAGAAACAGCAGGTCTTGACTGCTGACATGCACTTGAGAGCTGGAATTAAAATCCTGCTGCAACCTCTCACCTTTCTCCCTTTCCTCATCCTCATCCCTTGATGTTTTCTCCAGCCTCTGGTCCTGCAGCACAGTCTCCCCCTTGGCCATGGTCTTGTTCTGCTGCTGGGCCAGTTTCTGCCGAATGGAGTTGATCTCCCGTCTCAGGAGCCGGATGCGTCGTGTCCGTGCACCACTGGACCGCATGGTGCTCACTATATCTAGTTTTTCCAGCAGCTCCTTCAGCTGGGCCTCCAAGGACAGGTGAGCTCGGTTCTCCGGGAGGAGGATGTTATCCACTGCATCAAAAGAGATTGTAACAGTGAAGGGAAGGAGTAAGGCTCCTTGAAGAAGCATCTGGGACCACTGCCACGCCTCACTCCCTTTGATGCTATTCATGAATCAATCGCTTTAGTCTGGGGATTTAGCAATCATTAACCTTGGAGCTCTGACTTCCTTCCTTTGGGCAAAAAGCAGCTGATTTAACTTGCACTGCCCTTTAGTTCCCCTTACTGTCCCAGGGGCCACAGTGAAAGGATGTGTTTGCACCCCACGCAGAATAGTTCACAGTCTAGGTCCTTGTCAGAAACCTACTTCATTGTCAGATAAAATGACAAAATCAGACCACAAACAGAACTGGTCAAAACATAACGTTTGCCATTCCTCTGGCTCTGTTGAAGGGCTGGCCTCCAAAGGAGCAGAACAGACAGCTGAAAGACATACTATCATACACCAACACAAATTTTATAATGACTCTCCATCTGTACCCAAGAGAGCTTCAACATTTAGGAAGCAGATGGCAGACTGCAAGCTCTGAGTGCTTCATATTGTCCTAAGTATTCTGTACTAAGTTTAGCCAAGTTATTCAACCAATGCTTTGGAGCTGCATCTCAAGAGGGCTGTAGGAATGGATGCAACCGTGTTGGGAATGGGAAGTCTCAGGTAAAAGGATTGATTGGGTTCCACTACTTTGACTGCCCCATCACCCCCTCCCAGACCTCAGTGCTCCATCTAATCCAGTGGCTCTACACTTCGCCAATTTACAATACAAAGAAATGCATGAGCTTTCCCTAGAGCAAAAAATCCTAGATCCACCTTTGCACTGCTCTGTAAAATAGCAAGTTTGTACTACAGGCACAGCACAAATCAAAGAGCATGAGCAGTTTACAAGGCTCTTCTGAGACAGACATGCCCTAAGAGAGCTGGAGCTAAGCTGCACCTAGCTCAGAGTGCCCAGCTCACCTGAAATCCTGCTCTCTGAGGCTCTAAAGGAGTTAGATATATGCCTAGGTAAACAGATGGATAGGAAAAGTCTTGTATGTAGAATGACGGGTGTGATTTACATGCAGGCTGAAAGACATGCTCAGAACAAAAATTATGATCTGCCTGAGAAAAAAATGTTAATAAGTACTCACCATCCTCCCAAGAAAAGCAGTAAAAGTCCTCAGTTTTGGGTGACTCAGGCAGGTGAATCCCCACACCAATGTCAAAGCCAATGCTTTCAGCCTGCCGCCGTGCGTGACGCAATATCGCTCCTCCGAAGTCTCTGAGCCGGACAGCTGCTCGGTGGAAAATCGTGTCTTTAGCATTATACCTCATGCAGTTGGTAACTATAAGGTTAAAGTCTTCCTCAAACTCATCCAATGTTCGGTACAGGTGGGACTCCAGCTTCCGCCTCATGGTGGAAAAATCCATTGGGTTGGAAATGAATTCCAGGTAATCTGGAACCTAAACATATAAAACCTGTACAATTACAAAAACCATTTACTAGCCAACTAGAGTGCATCCATCATAAGCACTCTTAATGCCCTTTCCACTGGCAAGGGGCAGCGCCAGAAATTCATTTCTGTGTCACCCAGTCAAGGCAGACACACCCCGGCTCTGCAAAACATTACTTGTACAAGATGTGCTAAAGCTTCTAGAAAAAAATGCCCTTTTTTGGCCCGGAAGGATACTCACATCATGAGTCCTTTTTCAGATATTCTTTAGTCCACCAGGAGCTTGGGACAAGGTAGTTTATGCTTCTAGGGTTATGACAGCACATGAGCCTCTGCCCAGCAATACCTTATCTACAACCCACTAGACACCTCTAGGAAAGAGACTTGCCTCATTCAGGTTAACAGGCTCTGTGAAGATCTGGGCAGCATCCTTCTCCTGCAGTAGATCCAGTGTTGTGCGCAGAAGGACATTGAAAGGGGTCAGCTGTAGCTCCATAGCAGCCTGCTGAACCTTGACCTGGGAATGAGAAAACAGTGATGAGCACAGTTACGGAGGACAGGATATGTGAGTGCTGTCTCCCTCCAGTTTCTTCTGAATCATCACCCCAGCTCTACTCAGTGGTGGAAACCTCAGGTCGGCATACCACTAGCCTGGCAGACTCATTGCTGTAGAACTTCTGGCAAACACATTGTGCTCTCCACGTGCAGGATGTACATCAGCAGACAGCACTTTACAGAGTCTAACCACACAGTCCAATCCTTTTATATATGAGGAACTCCTATTTATTCAATCTCATCAAGTCAAAACAGGAGGAACCCCCAGAAAATTAAAAGATACTACAGCTAAAAATGAAAACAGGCAGAGGCTTTTCACACTTGGTAAATTATCCTGTAGAACTCCCTGCCTCATGATATTATTATTATGCCAATTATCAACATTATACAAAAGTTGAAAGTATGCAGGCGTTTACGTGAGCAACAACGTCCATAATTAGACTATAGAGCATAAACAAAGTTTAAGATATGAGCTCTCAGACTTCAAGGCAGAAGCCAAACAAAAACAGTGGTCTGATGTCTGCAAATTCCTAATACAGTTTCTCATATCCCTTATGAAGTCTCCAATATTGTTTGATTTCAAGTAAACAAGTTGTAGTACTGAAAATCTATTCAAAGAAGACTGGAACAGGATAAAAGTATTTATTTGTCTTTTAACATTTTAATTTCTTTGATCTTATAATCGCTCGTTATGTCATTAAATCAACCACTCCAACAGCAAAGGTAAGCAAGTCTGTTTACACAAAGCAAACTGATGTGCTAAGCAACAAGACAGCATCAGTGAGAGAATGAATGAAGACAAGATATAAAGACCACACTTTTCCCCCAGAACAGGAAAGAAGTCAAACAAAGATGCATGATTCTGGAGTATCCTTCTCCACTCATCTAAAAGGTGGGCTGGGATAGAGCTCCAACTAGACACACTTTTCTGTGATATTTTATTGTTTTATAAAGCACAACATAGTTTCCACAAGCTTTTATAGATTTAGCCAGCTGTGACAGGGATATGTCAAGATATCAAAGGTGAACAAAGCCCAAGAATGATTTTTTTTTCATCCTCCTACCTAAAATACATCCATACAGCAAGCAGGGCTGACCTACTGATGTAAATCAAGGACAATGCAGCAAATGAACCAGTGCTGGCATCAAAAGGACTCCAGAAAAGCTATGGGTAACTTCTGGTCACAAAAAAATTGCTCGCAGAGGAGCTGCTTTCCCTCTGCCTGGCTCCCTGCAGACAGCCTGAAAGCACCCAGGCAAGGCCTGAGGACACGTGTAAGGGCTCACTGTATGCAAGGCGACCCTTTCACGAAGCTGTCCTTGAAGATACTCCCGCCAGAGAGCATTGTCGTGGGTGCAGCAACCAAAGGCAAGCAAAGACCCTCAACAGGAAAAGCTGGCAAGCATGGGAAGCAACCTTGACTGGTGCAACTTTGGAGATCTGCACACAGCTCAAAGAGTAAACTGGAAAATTTAGTAAATTGTCTCCATCATAAAACTTTTTCATCCAAAAAATGTACATAGAGGACAAATGACAGGAATTTTTAGCTTTAGAGATTAAGAGCTGAATTGCGATTTAGACCTTTCTCTGGAGTAGGTGTTACCAAACTCCTGAAATTATTATGAAAGGAGATCTAACTTCTATTCTGCAAAACACTTGCCCAGAAATAGAAGGGGTGCTGTAGGTCAGAAATCAAATCCACTATTAGTTATGCAAATACATTTTCCCAGCACTTTTCAGCCCAGCCCTGGTTCTGTGACTGACAAGGAGAGAGAGTTCTGCGCACCCAACAGTCAGACTCTATGAAAAGAGGAAAAGGCTCAAGAAAAACTGTTGTGTTCCTTCTCTGCCTCCTGCAGCACAGAGTGCCTGCATGGGACTGAAGTTAAGTGCAGCAACTCAACAGCCAAAACTACTCACCTGCTCCCGTTTGAGTTTTTCCCTCTTACGGATCAGCTCAATGAGCAGTCGAGCCCGCTCCAAGTCATGCCGCAGTTTTTGCCAGTACTTCAGCTCTTCCTTCACTGCACTGGTCTTCTCATCCTGCTCCTTCTGTAAGATACAGCAGTGGGGTGAGATAAGAAACACAACTGGCTTCCTGTGTTTCCTTCTTTTCCTGGGCATCCCCACTGAATTGCTCTCCTCTTCCTCCTATTCACTTACCTCTTGTTTAGACTATTTCCCCTCCTTTCTACAGCATTTAGCTGTAACAAACACAACATCAGCCTTTCTAGATTTTATATTATCCGTGAAGTTAGCCTAAGTTATACGGTAGCTACACTCTGGGAACACACTTCAGTGCATGTTCATTTACACCCTCCCAGCTTTTATATCCAAGTTCATTACAGAGGCTGGAAATTTTTCTGTTGGCTGCTATGCATTGAAGCAGCAGCCCAAAGCATTTACAATATAAAGGCAAGGTGACCAAAAGCAGGGGAGGAAGGAGCTATTATTATCCTCCTTGTAACCAATAAGAAATAGAGCCACGGAAAGACATTTGCCAAAATACAAAGGAACAGCCAACACTGGGAGATGAGCTCACACCTTCCAAGACAGACAACCTATCCAAGTTCAGTGGCTTCTCAACAAAATCACCCTTCCTCCCCTAAATCTGTAGCTTTCTTAATGGCTTGGATGATATACATAAAGTGCATACACTTTCACACAATTGCCAAGAAGACAATTGCTTCACAAGATCTTCATGGTTTATATTAATAGGACATTTGTTTTTAAGAACTTACGTATAGTAAATTGCCAATGTAATACACCAAGGAAATGCTGCACTTTTCCAAGCTCCACACTGATAAGTGGGAAATAATTTTTTTATTTATCACCCAGGGCAGTCTTCTTGCAAATGAAAAGTCTATAAATTCCTCCAACTACAGTAAAAATATACGTGCACATTGTATACAATACCTACTGACAGGTTATGTTAGAGGATAGAGTCCAACTGCTTCATTGGTTCACCAACTACTTCTCATGCCAAATGCAGTGCTGCTTAATAGCATCGAGATCGAGTGACTCTAGGCACTGGCTCAGAGGAGGAAGCAAAGGAGTCCAGAGCTGATGATTATGTCTAAACTTCCATATGAATGTGCACGGGACAGGCAGAAATTGAAGCTGAAGGAAGAATGACCCAAACTGGAATTTGGCCAAAACTCTGGAGCTAACACCCATTTTCTTTAATCACTCGCAAGAAATGTGATTTTATAAATCATCTAAGAGATCAGTCCACCAAGGGTCCATCACACCCTTGTGCAATCCTGGGTCTCCTAACTCAGGGGAAAAACTCCCACCTGCAGATTCATCAACACAAATTTTAGTAGCATGATGGATATCCCACTAATATACTAACTCAGTTCTTCAGGCATGAGCATACCAAGAGGAGATCAGAAGACACTTAAATCAGGCCTCTGATCCTTTCACCCTTAATGCCCTCCTTAGCCATGTGCCAAGCACATCTCCTCCTGGAATGCGAGCTCTCCATCCTCCCATGGGTGTTCAGCTGGGGACCAGTACCTGCTCTGTGTTCCGCTGGGATTGGAGATGTGAGTGCAGGCGCCGGATCAGGGGCACCCCATTCCTCGCCTGCCGCTTCAGCAGCCAGTAGTTGTGGAGCCTCTGCATGAACTGGTTCTTCCTCTGGAGGGAGAGCCCGCTGCAAATTTTGTTCAGCCTGAAGGAAGTAAAGAGATGTCACAGAGCCAACTGCAAAGCAATTGTAACTCTGCAGACCCTTAGGTTTCCCGATGAAGCTTTGCAGTGCTGTGTCAAGCACACTCTGAAATAAACATAAACTGGTATGATCTGGGATCTCCTCAGCATGAATACATATGTGCCTACTTTTCACAATATATCCCTGTGTTAGTAGAAACCTGGCTGGAGGGTCTCACCAAGCACTTGCCCCAGCACTGTCAAATAAGCAATCACCAATTCAGCTCCAAGCCTTAATTTCAAAACTACTTTCCGTGTTAAGAACTTTCCAGGGGCCATTTAAGCCTGATGTTATTAAGCTGGACTCTTGAAAGGAGTCCAATAATAATATATCACCTATTTTAACCCTTGCTTATCATTTTTAGATTATACATGGTGCCTTATCAGCAGTTTCCAACACTTATCTGTTAAAATATCAGCAACACATCAACACACTTCCTAAGGCACCAAACAAAAATTCAGCACTACCTAGTTCTGCACAAGGAAGAGCTGGGAGAAAAAAATAAACAGTCAAATTCAAAGCTGCTTGCAACACTGACAGGTTTAACATGCTCTGTAATAAAAGGAGCAATTAAGAAACTATGAAATGAGACTTAAAAAAGGTCAGTAGTGGGATGACCCCTACCTGCCTACCAACCTGTAATGCCTGAAGTATTTTAAAAACACCTTCATGCCAGATAGGTGTTTGCTGTTAGGGACCACCATGAAATCTGTGTTACACAACAGTCTAGGATGGCTGCTTGGCAAAGCAAGAAAAGCACAGTATGCCAGTGACAGTCACGTAGAAGAAAGTCAGTCAGGAATTATGCTGCAGAGCACTCTGGACACAGCAATATTTATCGCTAGGCCCTGACTGAAGACTCAGTGTTTCCAAGTTCAACAATGACAGAGACTGAGTCCTTAAAACAGATCCTGTTCAGCTCCAGCTGTTCAACTCCTTCCTTAAACCTGCAACACTCACCTGTAAGAGGGAATTTGTGTGATGGTCACCATGGGCACAGATGAACGCCATTTGGTCACATCACCAGGCTCCTTTTTGATCTTTTGCTTCAATTTCACTTGGTTCTTTTTCAGAGACCCTTTGGGAGGGGCAGAACTGGCTTCCTCCTCTCCCTTCTCCTTCACAGTGTCCTCCTGCCCATCACCACTAGCAGCTGGAGACCCCTTTTTTACCATCCCAGGCGGGGAATGACTCTCACAATAGGCAGTCTTGCGCACAGTGAATGTCGTGCCGTTGATGCTGGTCTCCCTCATGGGTTCAATCTTCATGAAGAGACCAGCCCTCTGGGCACAGGTGACATGGAAAGCAGTGTAACAGTTCACCTTGTGGCATTGAATAGCAGCTCCCATGCCCTTCTGCTTGCAGATACAGCATGTGAGCTTCCACCGAGCTGGAGGGATGTTGTTGATCCCTTCAATGGGCTCCAGGAAAACAGTGTTTGCAAAGCAGACCTCTGGGATCCAGATGGCACAAACCACGTGAGCCCAGCGGCCATCACTAGTCTGCTTGAAGGCTCCCCCTTTGTTCGGGCAAAGGACACAATCCACAGGGCGAGAAGGGGACTGTAAACAGCAGCGACAAAGCCACTGCCCCTCAGGGATATAGGGCACACCGTAACATTCCTGGTGCACGGCCAGATTGCAGATATCACAGAACAGAATGACATTACTGTTGTGACACTCATCGTCCATGCAGACACAGCAGAAGGCATCCTCATCGATGAGGGACTGCTGAGCCCCATTGTTCCGGCTCTCAAGGTACGACTCCTTTTCCAATCGATCCACCAGCAGCTCAAAAGTGTCAGCAGAAACTGTTCCATAACCATCAGCCCTTCTCTTCTCGTTGACCATTTCCAGCCATGCCAGATCCTCCTCATCCATGTCATACTCCACTTCTACATCGAGGTCTTCAGGAGGCTTTTCCAAATACCGGTAGTAGGCAGCAGGAAGAGGAGGGGCATCTGGCTGGCTGAAAGAGTCCAGCACACGGAAGTTGGGCTGGGGTAAGTGTAAAGACGTCCCTGGTGCATGTTTGGAGAAGGACTCCTTCTTCCTGCCTTTAGAAGGTGTTTTCCTAGATTTGGAAGGCAAAAGGGGTTGCTCACTGTTTTCCTTGTTGCTGTTGCACTCAGTAATGTCCTGGGCAGTCAACTCATCCTCTGTGATGAGTTTTAAGGGATCGTAGATGCTGATGCGATGAAGCCGCCCATCGATGTCCACCTCCACGATCCGCTGGGCCTGAGCATATGTCAGAGTCTCCCGAGTCGGGGAGCACTTGAGGCTGTAGGGCGAGGGAGAACGCCTCCCCTCCAAGTTCTGTCGGGACCTCCTTCGAGGCTTCCTCATCACTATGGTCCAGAGACCCTGTAACAAAACAGGACAGAGGACAGTGTAAGACGAGGATACAAGCAAGAAACAGTGCAGACTGAAAAACTCACTCAACATTGCAATAGCGCAAATTTCTACTAGAGACTTCAGCAGTTTCAGGCTTGCTGAGTCTTTACACCTGCTTAGATACAAGCAGGTAATTGATATATCAACCATTTCTTGCACTGTGTATCAGAGCAATGCACAGCACCCTCCAACTTTCTCTATTTGCAACTCAGGAGATGTATGTACCACCATATCACCTGTGAGAAGAGCTCAAAATAATTTTACAGCACGGTATACAGCCTGCTGTGCATTCAGATCAGCAAAACATTCAGATCCTCTGAAATTCAAATACTACTTATCATATCTGCTGGCACCATTCGCATACTAAGGTCACACAAGCCAATGAGTTCTTCTCTGTTCTTTTGCCTGTGACTTTTATATCCCAAATAGCACACAAAATGTGCTGGATGTTTTCTAGTTCAAAAGGAATGCACTGTTCAGGTCTTATGAAAGCAGTTCCCAATTATTTTTTTTTTTTTTTTTGTTACTGAGCTCCAGATGAGAAAACTAGCACTTCTCCTTCAGTCCAGGAGGGAGCTCCTCCAAGTTTCACACCTAAGGGTTGCCACCACCAATTCTTCTGTTCCAACACTGCAGATGCAAAAAGTTCTATAATGAAAAATCATCCTCCAGCTTTGCTTTTCTTTCTCTCTCAGATGTAGCTGTTCCTTACACCGCTCTCCAGATAGTGTATGCTGAACAGACTGTGTCCTTCCCAACATGCAAATGGGTCACAAACAGAACCAGAGGATGAACCAAGCAATATATCAGATACCAGATGTGTGTCCCTTCTGCTCTTCGGTGGGATCAAGGAGGAAGTGAAGGGGAACGAGCATGGGAACAAGCAGCATGGATCCAAATGGACTTAGTAGCTCTGGCTCAGCGTTAGCCCCTTTGGAGTCATAATTCCCATTCATGCACTTAAGCCAGTTCTGCATGGAGAATCCACAGGGGTACAAGGAGGAAAGTAGCCAGGCAGCTTCCAGACCACACCAGGAACCATGCAATGGTATTTGCTCAGAGCCTTAACAAAAACCCCAGGCCATCTCTGTCCTCACAAACTGCTAATCAGCAACCCAGATAATTAGTTGAGAGTCGGTTCCTGACGTTAAGGAGGTGCCTGTCAAAGGGGAGCAGAGGAGAAGCCTGCAGCTGGCGAGATGATCTGGGGGAGGATGCAAACATGGCAGAGCTCAGTGATCTGAGGGCGAAGAAGGGAGCTAGCAAAGAGGGAAAGCAGAAAGAAAGCCAAGTAAGTAACACAAGCAAGAAAGGAGGGTCAACAGTGGAAACATGAGTTATGGGAAGAAATGAGCGGAGTCTGAAAGAAGTTGAAAAGTAGACAAAGGAAAGCAAATGTAAATTCTCCTTGAGAAGACAGGCCAGCCCAGAGCTTATCTGTTGCTATGCAGAGGCCTGAACCTGCACCTCACCCTTATTTAAAGCAATCCCACATTCAGTCCCTTTCTGTGGGACCCATAGACAAGAAAACACACTATAAACCCACAATTTGTGGTTAGCCAATGCATTATTTGTGCTCCATGAAGGGCATAGCTCCAGAGACTCTCTATCACGTGAGTCAGAGCAAGCAGCACCTCAGAGGAGTAGGACCTACAAGAAGTCCAAGCTTATTCCAGAAAGAAGCAACAAATTCCAGGAGCAACACATTTTTCGGTACTGTTTCTGTGAACCATGAGATTAAGCCATGACAGAACATGTGTATTAAGAAACAAACAGGCTCTGGGATGGCTTTTCAAACTCTTCCTTGCATCCACAGAAATAAGCTGCAGGTGCCAGTTTCAGTAAGCATACCCATAATGATGGAACCTCTAAACACAATTTTATTTCAGGTGGAAAATATGAGATGACAATTTCTACCTGCAAATATAGGTACCACAAATTTTGGGATGTTTGCCTTAAACTTTTAATCAGTCACTTGATCCACAGACCGCAGACACGCAACTGCACTCGTCCTAGCTGAGCTCCAATGGCTTCAATGAGTGGGAAAAAACAATTTTAAAATAAGGGCATAAAGGCAACTTGATCATCAAATGAAAAAAAAAAAAAAAACAAACAGAAAATCCTGCTGGCAAACAGCTCTCTTCCAATTCAGGCCAGTACAAGCAAAGAAGACACTGGAGGCAAAAAGATATATGGGCAAAAATATATTAGAGGATGAAGTAATTATTATGAGCTGACTGCACCCATAATTAATATTTTATTCAGGAAAAATGAGGTATTAGCCACTTGCTGAGGGATAAGCAAATTTCAGTGAAACAAGCTCCTGAAGGAAGGGTTATTTTATCTGTTGATGGGAAAAACAAGGGTACAGGGCTCCTTTAGCAAAAAAATCAATGTATTTCTAGAAAAATTACTCAAAGTGGGCTTTCCACCAACTGCCATAAAACAACCCATTTGTAAAATACACAATTACTTAGCACTATGAAGAAGCATCTAAAATGGCATGGAAATTGCTGCCAGCAAGAGATGACTACCTGGGATAATACATGCATCTGGATATCAGGAGAGACGCAGCTACCCAATTCCAAAAAAACTTTGAAAGCAGCAATGAAATTAACTCAGACCCACTGAGCTGAACACTATGACCTTGTCTACAACAACAGAAATTTCTAAGCGACAACCTAGGCATGTTTTGATCTCCCTGGCACACTTGAGAACACCTCCCTGCTACGCATAAAAAAGAATCCCTCTGCGAACAGCACCCATGCACACTGAAATGCTAAAGACACTTGACACTGGTGAGATTAAATGCTATTTCAGCTCATGCTGATTACGTCCTACCATGGACAAAGGTTGCTGATGTGAATGCAGAAAGTTCAAACAGTCGTGCTCTGACTATTGCCATAGTATGCTCAAAGCTTTCCAAAACCCTCCCATCACCCACTTCCGCTGGATATTGCGCCAGGAGCAGGGTGTGAAGTTCCTAGAGAATACAACTGAGCAAACAAGGTGGCTACAATACATAAAGCTGCTGGGAATGAACTTAACTCCACCCCAGGAGTTCATTCAGGAATGGTTCAATTCTCCTGAGCAGCAGCTTTTACACCTGTAGGCAAGAGATGCCGGTGGGGGGGGGGGGGGGGGGGGCTGTAAAAGGCAACCAAGCCCATCGCCAGTTCACTTAAATTTACTACAAAGGGGTCAAAAGCTCCACTGAAAGATCAACATGTATCAAACACCACCACAATACAGGCCCCTATTATACATGCAGCCTGGAATATCTGACACAAATGAGTCCTCTAAAGGAAAGGCGAAACGTTGCTGTGATTTACACCCATGCAACACTGTGTTGGCCATTTCCAAGAGTCAGAGACACCATCTCACATTGCAGAAGGCCTCAGTCTCCTTCCCAACTCTCCTTCATGCTGCAGTCCTTCCTTCTAGCCTTCTCACACTGAACAACCAAGGATTTACTTTACAGCACCAGGTTTCTTTGCTAACGTGCAGAGGACACAAGGCTGGAACTCAAGGCAGTGGAGGAGTTTCCTGGCCCTTTCCAGGCATGGCTTGGTGATCCCAGTGAAGAACTGGGTTCCTCAACAATGAAGAACTTCAGTGACTTGCAGCAAGAAGGCCACCTGGACCTTAGTGAGTAGCAGCAGATGTGAGCAAAGTGGCTCTCGTTCAATTCTGGCACACCATGACTACTGGCAGTGGCTATAGCTCGTACAGTCCCAAACAGTTTGGGATTTGTTGTCACCAAAGACTGCCTTTCTTTGGGACATGTCAAATACGAGGTCTGGAGACGTTCCTCAGCATTGCTCTCCTGCACCACCAGCCACCCAGCTCTGCCACTTGTGGCTGTTTGCTGGGATTTAAAACCTACTCCTGTGCAATGGGGAACAGAAACCCATGGAGCTATTTAAGAAACACATCTGCCAAACAAAAGCAACAGATGCCAGAGGAAAGAAACAACCTGGAACTGTTGCAGCCCCCTTTCCACCTTTTGCCAACCAAAATGCTGCTTAAGCTCCTGCCGCCCTTGACAACACCCCTCCACGTTCCTGCTGTGTCTGCACTTACCACGGGCTCATATTCCCTTCACGCACCTGCCAAGGGTTTATAACTCCTGACACCCACACTGATGCCTACAACAAAGTGTGTCAGTGCTCAACAGATGTAATGGAGAACTGCCTGCCTTGGCACACAGAAACATCTTTATCGATCCCCTGGTACTTCTGTAACCAAATCAAGCCGACAGGAGATGCACCAGACTGCAAGAGAAGACCTCCTTCCAGAGGACAGGGTTGCGAGACAGGCTATGGATAAAGTTTAAGGTAACGTCTGGGCTCACCAACAGATGGTGTGTGCCATGAGCTGTGTCTGGCCTCAGCAGCAACTGAGGGAACTATGACGTGCCATGAGCTGTCAGGTGCCGGCGGGAGCTCCTCTCAGGAGCTATCCTGTGCAGCGAGGGACACGGGATTCCTGCAGGGAACTCCAGTAGCAGCCAGCGATCTGGGTCAAGGCACAGCAGGGACTCGGACAAAAATGAAGCCGACCCCGGGAGAGGAAAAGGCGCGGCGGGCGCCTGCGACGACCCTCGCCGGTGCCCAGCACTGGGCCATGCCCAAGCGAGATCTCCCCTCCCCGAGGAGCGGGAACACTCTCCAAGGAGAGGGGCCAGGGCGGAGGAGAGCGAGAGAGCGCGCGGCAATTGGGAGGCGATTGGCTGTCGCCACCGTACATCCCAGCTCCAAAACCAATAGCAACGCAAGACTTTGCGGGACTAAAAGAGGGTGCGCTTGGCCCCGCCTGGGCCAATAGCGTAGGAGAAGGTGGGCGGTGCCCCCGCGACGCCGCGAAGAAGGGGGGCCAAGATGGCGATAAGGGGGGGGGTCGGCTGACACAGTGCTGTCCGTTCCCCGGCCCCAGGCGCTCGCCACCGCCGCCTCCTCCTCCGCGAGGGCCCGCGGGCCGCTCCCTCCGCGTGGGGGCAGAGCGGGCATGCAAGAAGGGCCGCAGGATGCAGCGCACCGTGCTCCCCCAGCTCTTTCCCGCCCGCCCGGTCACCTTCCCGCGACCCTGGCTCGGGGGTGTGAGGGAGGAGAGACCCCCTGAAGGAAGGGTGTCGCGGTCTCCCACGCAGCGCTTTTACCTGGCCGGCTCAGCGCGCCGCGGACGCGGCGTCTCCACCGTTGCCGCCGCCTCCTTTGGGGGGAATTTTTTTGTTGTTTTTCTTTTTTTTTTTTCTTTTTTTTTCTTTCTTTTGTTCCTCTCCGCCTCCCCCTCCCCTCCCCCCTGGGGCGGACGGGCTCACCCAGCTGGCGGCGGGAGGGGAGGGCACAAGATGTCGGCTCCGTGCGCTCCGGCTGCCGCCGTCTCCTCAGCGCCGCCTTCTCATGCCGTTGCCACCGCTGCTCCCGCCGCTGCTCCCGCCGCTGCCGCTCCGGCCCCGGTGCCGCTTCGCCCCCCACCACTCTCACCTCCCCCCCGCCCCCCCCCCCCCCCCCCGGGGCTCCAGCGCCCCGACGCTCTCGGTGCTGTGGAGGCGCTGGGGGGGGGGGGGGGGGGAGCAGGGGACACACGCTCAAGATGGAGGCGGCAGTGGCGGCGGCAGCGCGGGCCGGCCGAGCGGTGGGGAAAGGCAGCGGCCAGGCAGGGGAGGGGGCTCCGCGCTCCGCTTCCCTCACGGGCAGGCACTGCCCGCCCCTCCCCGGTCCCTTCCCACACTCGGGCCGCACGGGAGGCCCCCGGGGGCTTGCGGTGACGGGAAGGTGGGGGGGGTCCGTACCCGGTGGCCTCATGGCTTAGGAAAGGTCTGCTCCCGCCCCTCTCCCCCTCCGCGCCTGACGGGGCAGAGAGCACCGGGGAACCGCGGCCTCCCGGCACCCGCCTCTGGCTCCAGGCGGCTGGAGAGCACTGCCCCCGCTCCTCGCCTCCGCTCCCCTCCCCGCATCCAGCCTCGCGGGGGGGTTTGTCTGAGAGCGAGGGTATCATGCTAGGCGGTGTCTTGCAGCCGGTAGCCCCCAGGCCACGGGAGACGGGATTTTCGTCCCAGGCTCATTGGGGCGTCTTCATCTTGCACCCAGTTTTTTGCAGGAGGCATGGGATCCCACAAAACGTCCTGGAGTATTGCCAGGTGCCAAAGAATCTGTGGCTTTGTTTCTGCCACTCTTCGCCTAAACAAGCAGCATCAAACAAACAATGTAAATAGCAAGAGCCTGTATTTATTTCCTAGACCAACACTTAAGGTCCAGATGGCCTCCTTAGGTGCAGAAGTGTGAGCGGGTAAAAGGACAGAGAGAGGGACGGAGAGGAATGAACAAGGAAGAAGTTACATTTGCAGCTAAGCGGTGAGATAGGAACTGCAGAGGCTCCTACACTTTTTATAGTGTACCACATACTTGGGCATATGTATGCTGCACCTCCCACTCTGTGCAGAGTATTGCATAATATTACCATCTGAATTTACAGAATTAACTGTTTTAGAAGGAAAAAATGAATGCTGTTTTCCCTCATGTACAGTCCAGCTATAGATCTTTTGTCTCTTAACGTATGTTAACTGTGGAATCTGAGAGCAGACAGTCTATGACAAGTCTGTTTTGCAAAGTCTCAGGTTGGACCAGAGCTTGCTGAAGCTTTAAAAGCACGGGAAAACATGTTCCTTACTGCTGAACAATCTTACAACCTTCTAAGTATATACTGTGTATATAAAGGGTATGCTTTTTCTACTATTCATGTATCAGAACTTGAAAATAAATAATAATCTATTCTTGTCCTGCATGAAAAATAACATATCAAAGATTTAGAAATAAAGTCTCAATACTCTCGCTGATTTACATAGGATCTCACTTAACCCCAAAAGAACAGCTATGCAACAGTACGGTCCTAGCCATGAAGGACTAAGAAACAATCTAAACCTCAGTCTATAGACACATTTGCTTCCGAGTTAAACAATAAATAAAATTATTTCAATAACTGATGAGCAACTTCAAAGGCTGAGAGAATGGGTATATTCAGCCTGGAAAAGAGAAGCTTCGGGTGACCTCATTGTGGCCAATGAGAAAGATGGAGACTTTTTAGAGGACAAGGGGGAACTGCTTCAAACTAAAAGAGAGTAGGTTTAGATTAGGTATTAGGAAAAAAAAAAAAATCTTCCCTGTGAGGGTGGTGAGGCTCTGGCACAGGTTGCCCAAAGAAGCTGTGGCTGCCCCATCCTTGGAAGTGTTCAAGACCGGGTTGGATGGAGCTCTGAATAACCTGGTCTAGTGGAAGGTGTCCCTGTCCGTAGCAGGGGGGTTGGAACAAGTTGTTCTTTAAGGTCCTTTCCAACCCAGGCCATTCTAAGATTCTATGATTTTCCTTCTTTATGTGAGAATTTTAACAGTGGGTTTTATTGATTTTTTTTTTTAGCCCTTTCAGTGTGTTTTTTAAATATGACTAGCTTTTGCAAACTTTCATTTTGATCCCCGTTTTGAAACATTATACTCTTAGATTTGCACTAGAGTTAGCTTACTATAATCACATTAGGTTCCCTATTAAGTTCAGTGGGATGACTCATGCACAGAGATGTCCAGACATCTCCGATGACTGGGGGCCATGTGTTACAACATCAAAACAAGTTATCCATCGTTTAGTTTTATATCAAAGCTGTGGAACTGATGTGTTATTTGGAAAAAAACATTCTGAACTTCTCTCAACTCCCAGAGGCGAGTTAATTCAATTTCTTTGCTCTCCCAGTTTTTAAAGGGTACTAGTGCAAAACCAGTGATGTTGCTTCAAATGAAAGCAGGAGCTAAGACACCTAAAACAGAGTTGGGCACCTTCATTCATACTATTATTTTCTGCATCTTTATTTAAGTATATAAAACAAAAAGGGAAGAGAACTATCATTTAGAATTGAGAACTGATATTTTTTTCTTTGTTGATTCATTAACCCTCAAAACTGAGTAGTGTTTGTATCCCTCTTTGGCTGGTTGTTCTGCACTATTGCTAAAAAGGACCCCTATGTATTAAAAGTTAAAAGCCTGATATGTCAAAAGTGACAATCCTCAGCTGCCATTTATTTCAGCTGGATTTGCAAGTGCTCAACTGCACTTCCTAAGACCCTTGTTTTGTATGGAGTGTATATAAACCTCTCAGCCTCACTAACATCAGAAAGGTGACACAAGCACCCAGCACTATCTCCTCAGTGGTGTTATTTTTTTTTTCCCCTCAACATCCTACAGTTTTAAGACATTTTTTTTTTCAGTTGAAGTGTTCTCAAGACATGGTTTATGGTAGGAGAATTTTTATTTTTCCAGCCAAGCTTAGCTAAAAAAAGTTAACTGACTTTCATTTAACAGAAATTCAATGAGCATTGAAGATATAATATACTAACCCTTCAGTATTATTTAATGGAGTGCAATCCAGCAAAAAAGGAGTTATCAGTCAGCCAAAAAGCTGACTGAATCAGCTGTGAACCAGCACCAGCTGAATATCATACTAAAAGCTGTATAAACTCGTGCTCAGAAAATGGCCTTGTAGAGAGAAATCAGGTGAAACATTCTGTAAAACACATTCACCTGGAAACTCCAGCATTTTCACAGTGTACAGCTGGACTTAATGACCTTACTGGTCTTTTCTGACCTGAATGATTCTATGATAAGGTGCAGCGAGTGTACATCTGTTTGGGGGAAAAACAAATTAGTACTGGCTATTGTGGTCTTCATTCAATCCTTCATGTCTTGTTTCTCTTAGTTGCAAAAAGAAAAATAGCCATAATCACGTTTCCAGCCAACACTCTGCTGACCCATGATACAGGAAAATGCAGAGGATTAGGAATGCTTTCCCTGGTTGCTCAGGCAACAGTGAGACATGGGAATATGAAAAGGTATTAACATCCTTTGTACAGTATCTCACTAGAGTTCTCAGATGTGTTTATATTTGTCTATGTTCTTCTTCTTTCTCATTATCCCATAAATGAAAACATGAAAACTATTTGTTTAGTTTGCTACCTAGAATGTGAAAATATTATATATGAAAACATATTATTTTTCTTTTTCCTACAGGATAAAATAAGTACAGTTTTCTGAGAGGCTGGAGAAATTTTCAAAACTGTGCACCAAAAGGTTTCTAGGTGGTATCCAAAACACAGCAACTATTGTCTCTCTTAAAAAATCCTTGTAATTTTGCGGTGTCTCTTAAGAAAATCATCATTGCTTCATCTGCTTTTTCTTTCCCACTTACATGTGCAAGTACCTAATAAATAGGTCCCATAAAGTTCCAACTTCACAGACCTAATTAGCTATCAAAAAAAACTTGCAGAGAAGGATCGTTTATAAAAGGCTTCGCTTTCCAAATTAAAAAATGACAGGAATGTAAGAATAGCAAGTAAGTAGTATTTCAAGTTAAACATTGGTATGTTGTGTGAGACAGGCACAAAAATTCTATCCATACATCCACGTAAATTTTCATCATACATCCTTAATATAAACAGCAAACATATTTGTGGCTGGCCTAATTTATGGAATTTTGGATCACTTTTAGGGCTGAGTGATTTTTATCACTTGATTTTGTATTTTTAAGTATGCAAACTATGTAAGGGCAAAAAAAAAAAACATAATGAAAGGAATATGTCTATTACCTGTTGGTCATCAACAGGCACCACCTGCACCTC